TCTGTCCTATCTATCCACTGTATCTTTTCTTAACAAACAGCTTTTAACTGTATGTCTATCAATATGTAAATCAATATGTTTGTCTGTTCATCTTTTACTCTGTTATCAATTTATTAATCTATCTATCTACCTACCTGTCTATTTTCTGTTATTCATCTATTTATCCCTCTATTAAGCCATATATCTAACACCAGTCTATTAATCTACTTGTCTGTCTATCTACTCTATCTATCGATTGATTAAGAAAATAAAATAGAAGGAGAAGAAGAAAAAATAAAATAGAAGGAGAAGAAGATGGATGATAAAGGGAGAGACAGAAGAAGAAAATAAGTAATAATATTAATAGGAAAAGGTTCTCTCTAGTCATTCTCTTCTCTTTGTCTTTTCTTCCTCTTTCTCTTTTATTTCTCTCCCTCCTCCCCCCCACCTCCTCCTATTCTTCTTCCTTTTTTTTTTGCTTTACTTTTATATTCCTTTTCTTTATCATCTTATTTTTTCTATTCTTTTTTTTTACTCCTCCCTTTTTCCCATTTTCACTTCCTCTTCTTCCTCTTCCTATTACTGTTATCATCATTCCTACTCTTCCTCTTTCTTCCTCCTGTTCTTCGTCCTCTTTCTCTATTTCCTTTTTCTTCTTTTCCTCGTCTCTCTCTTTTCTTATTATTCATCTCCTCCTCTTCCTTCTCCTAGAAGGCAGAAGAAGAAAGAGGAGGAGGAGGAGGAGAAGAAAGAAGAAGAAAGAGAGGAGAAACAAGGCAGAAGAAGAGAAAAAGAAAGAGTAGGAAAAGGAGTAGGAGAGGAAGATTAGAAGGCAGAAGAAGAAGAAAAACAGAATAGAAGAAGAAAGAAAAGGATGAGAACCAATAATAAAAAGAAGGAGGAGGAGGAGGAGGAGAGGAGGATAAGGGATCGCAAAAGGCAACCGAATCCCCCCCCCAAGGGAACCCTCCCGCCCACAACGGACGCCTGCCGCAGGAGGAGTCCCGTGGGCGTCAGGGGAGGGATCAGCGGATGAGGGGCGTGGGGGAGGGGGAGGAGGAGGAGGGAGGGAGGGAGTATTATGGAGAGAGCGAGGAGCAGGGGAGGGTGGTGTGGGAGTCGGGGAGAGGGAGGGAGGAGGAGGGAGATTGGTGGGAGACGGGCGTCAGGGGAGGGATCAGCGGATGAGGGGCGTGGGGGGAGGAGGAAAGGAGGAGGTGTGTGGGAGTATTATGGAGAGGAGAGGCAGGAGGGAGGGAAGGGAGAAGGGTGGGAGACGAGCGAGGAGGGAGGGTATGTGGGGTCGGGGAGAGGAAGGAGGGAAGGGTGGAGAGGCGAGGGGGGAGGGAGGAGGAGGGTATGGTGGGTCGGGAGGAGAAAGGGGAGGGAGTATTATGGGGGCGAGGGAGGGAGGAGGAGGGATAGAAGGAAGAAGGAATAGGAGGCCAAAGGGAGGGAGTAGGGTAGCGAAGGGAGAGAGGGATCTGGAGGGAGGCAAGGAGGGAGGAAGGGAATAAGGGAAATGTTGTGGAAATACCGGGATTGATGGATGGAATGGGCGGGGAGGGTTGGGGGAGGGCTGAGGGGGGGGGGAAGGGGAAAAAGGCGAGAAGGTGATTTTTTTGTCTCGATTGATTATTGGACGCGCGAAATCTTTCTTTATATATATATATATATATATATATATATATATATATATATATATATATATATATATATATATATATATATATATATATATATATATATATATTATATATATATATATATATATATATATATATATATATATATATATATATATATATATATATATATATATATATATAATATATATATATATATATGTACACACATACATACATACATATATATGAACAAAAGCACAAACACAATGACGTGTACACAAAAATGAAAATGAAACTAGCCACAATTTTCCATTCTCATTGTGGCGTTTTATTTCACACACACACACACACACACATATATATATATATATATATATATATATATATATATTATATAATATATATATATATATATATATATATATATATATATATATAATATATATATATGTATATATATATATAGACAGACAGACAAACACAGCCAACAAAAAGAGACAGAAAAAGAGAGACAGAGATATAAGGAAGACCCCACACATTCAACGCAGACACAAACCTCACTCCTTCCCCCCATCACACAGTCTCTTCCTCTCTCTCTCTCTCTCTCTCTCTCTCTCTCTCTCTCTCTTCCCCCTCTCCTCTCTCTCTCTCTCACTCTCTCTCTCTCTCTCTCTCTCTCTCTCTCTCTCTCTCTCTCTCTCTCTCTCTCTCTTCTCTCTCTCTCTCTCTCTTCTCTCTTCTCTCTCATCTCTCTCATCGTACAAACATACAACAAGCCAAAACCACATACCTGAAGTCGCTTTACATCTGCCTTTGTTACACCGGTAGAGGCCCTCACAAGCACAGTCGGAATTCACTCGGCAGTAGGATCCCGTGACGTCAGTACAAGCTCT